GTCGAGATTATTGATTGGTTTCACTATTAGCATTCATGCTTGATGTACTTGATGAACTTGACGGTTTCCTTTAATTGATTGATGATTCGTTGACATTGGAACTCGCATGTGGATTAACGGAATTGTTTCATCTTTTGTTCTCGATTGGTTGTCTTGGGGCATGCTTACCTTATGTTCGATTATCGTTGTAAACGTGTTATCTATACACTTGTGGTACGTTTCGATTGATTTGTGATGATCATGTATTAATTGTGATGTATCCTTGTGTGCCTCTCCCAAAAAAAAAAAGAATAAAAAGTGAGTTCGCAAGGAAGTACGGATTAGACTCCTCTTATTCCGAACCATTCATGGATTGGGATAATGAGCCCGGGAAACCGGTTTAGAAAACTCGAGAAAACCCCTCGAGGTTAAACCTAGATCATCTCGTCCGGAAACCTCGTTTGGAAAAAGAAGCTCACGAAATGAGTTCGTGGGAGTCGAAGGGAATAGGCTCCTCTTGGCTCGGTTAATCTTCTAGAGAGATCGGGTCAACGAGCACGGGAAACCGGCCTAGGCAACTCGGGAATAACCCCCGAGGTTAAACCTCGGTAATAATCGTCCTAACGACTCTCATTTGGAAAAAGTGGCTCATTAGAAAAAAGAAAAAAAAATATATATAAAAAAAAAAAGAAAAGAAGAAAATTGGGGAATTGGCTTATTGATCTCGTGCTTATTATTTCATGTTTTGTAGATCATTTATGGTTTTTGCACGTATATGTGAATGAGGGGGTTTGACTCGAGCGATCATTTGTGGAATGACTTAGGACGAGTTTTTGTTTCGTTTGATACACTATGTGGAACCGTGTCTCGGATTGGATTTTGATTTTGGGATAACCGGATGATAATGAGAGTTTCATTTCGCATGTTTGTTAATCTTGGACCGTTCGATTTATCTCTTCGAGCTATTTATTATTTTGTTTGCTTGAGGACAAGCAAAAAGCTAAGTGTGGGGGAGTTGTTTATTGTGTTTTGTGTTTATTTCTATGTGTTTTTGTGTGCTTTCGAGTCGATTTTATGTTTATTTTAGTGTCGACCGGTCCATTTTCTCGTTTAACGTGTGTTTTTATGTTTTTGATATTTATTTCATATTTTGGCGTACTTTCCCGTACTTTTGCTATGAATTTCAGGTTTATTCCGGGGATAGAGATGGAGAGAGAATCGAGCCACATTCCGAGAGATGAGCATTTTCTGAAGAAGTCGAGTTTCCGAGAAGTTTTGAGCCATCGTGCACGAGACATTTCCACTGCCGAGTTTTCTGAGCATTAGTCAATTCCAAAGTCCAAGCAGCTGTCCACCCGCGAGCTCGCGCGCCCGTCCGCGACGTCGAGAGTGTCGAATTTCCTAG